GCGAAAGACTACACTCAACTCCCAATCGTAAAAAGGCAACAGGAAACCACTCTACTATCTTTCCCAAGAAAGCATGTCAATTTGCAGATAATAAAGGAAAGGAATCTGTGAAGAGTTATGATTCCCTTTGTCCTGGAGAGCGAAAGACTACACTCAGCGCCAAACTGTGAAAAGCCAACAGTAAATCACTTCACTATTTTTTCAAGGAAGCATAGCAATTTGCAAATAATACAGGAAAGGAATCTGGGGAAAATCATGATACGTTCTGAATGGAGATGAAATTCAACTCCCTTCAGTAGTTTTGAAAAAGTATCTTTTCATATCCCTATGAACCCTCAGATCTGGGAATCATACTTTTTGTCATCTCTTACTTCGTTCTCCAGGGACCTATATTAATTCGTTGGCAATCTTTATTATGAGTAGTAGTAGTAGTAGTAGTAGTTTGTTATCACCTGGTTAGGATACATACGGTTGTACTCTTTACAAATAACTATAAAATGAAAAAGATAATCGTAATATTGAGAATAGCCGATTTCATACAGGAAACATTCATTGAGTCAGCAGTTTATTGTCAATTGAAATTTATGAATTTTTTCTCTTCAAATAGCTTTCTTTAAAAAAATGAAAATAGTCTTGTCAAATTCTCTTATTGTTATTGTTCTTGCTGACATCGGCGGAGCAGATAACTGTAACAATCTTTCATTTCCAGAATCAAGCAAAAAAAAATGGCGCGCATACTCCTTGGGGATTGCTCTTTTGATAAAACCCGTTAACTATCTAAAAAATCAAGATGACGGCCATTTTTCAAGATGGATGCCATTGAATCTGCAGAAATATTGTATTTTGCAATAAAAGACTTGTCCTATTTGAAGGATCTTGGTGTCAAATCATACATTTTTCACTGTGTAGAATCCAAATTTGGAACTACCTACCCACTCTCTAGTTTCCTTGTAGTATAATATCAGTCCCAGTATCATAATTAGGGTAAAAAGTGCTCATATCATTGGCACTATCAGTCCCATGTATTACTGGATGTACATGTAGGCAGTACGCCTATACTTGTTTGCCACAATTTCTTACTGCCTGGCTGTGTATAATACAACATCAGCAGCTGCACAATGCCGTGCAAGTCAGACCAAAGCAGCATCGACCGCAGCATTCCGACTTGCAATCTACACTTGGTCAGCTGCTGGCAACTCTCCGCAAATAATTGGAGCTCTGTCCAAACGATCTGCCACAGATTTTCTTTCTTGGTTCAGCTCTAGTTGCCAGGAGTCTGCGTTTCTGGTTGACGTAATGTTGACTGACTCCAGATGTGGACCGCCTTGTAGGAAGCACGCTTCACATGCTACTTCACCGCTGCTTAGGTTGGAGGAATAGCTTCGTATGGCAAACATATCCAACTTCGCATCATCGACATCTTCGGCTGTGCTGGATCTGTCATACATCATGACCCCAAACGTCTCGGATGCCTCTAGGTTTTCATCATCGGCAACCGATGGATACTGGCTGAGTTCGATGAAGACACCGGAAGCCTCATCACAAACATCCCAGGTTTGCCAAGCAGACTTCTTCCCTTTGCCACGGAATGCTGAAATGACATCGTAGCCAGTGAAGGCATGGAAGAAGAGTATCACTGCTTTTTCTGCAAGCGTGCATCACAGGTCATGTACAGGAACCCAATCAGGTTCTGTCCTTGGCCAAAGGCAACCCATAACTGCTGCAGACCTAGCTTCTGAAGTGCCTGAAAAACACTGACTGCAATGACGACATCTGTGTCGCTGGCTTTGACCATGATGACATTACTGCATGCTTCAGTTGCATGTCTGTCATGCACAAAGATCCGCGTTTCAGGTTTCAGACTAGATGGTCGGTAGACATCAAACGCAATGTCTGTTCTCTTTGTTAGAGTATGCTTACATTATAGGAAGGACATTGAGCATTGTGTATTCTTCGAATATCTTTGTACTCCGTGGGGGGAGACTGTTCATTAACGCTGCACCATCAATTATGATGATGTCGGCGTCTGGCTCTGCCTCAGGGGTTGTAATTTGGCTCTCAAAAATTGTAGTGAAGTGGGATTTCTCCCAGGTGTAGAGCTTTCCACCGTCACTGAGGGCGGCAGGATATGATTGGTTCACGTGATGGAAGTACTCCTTCAAGTCACACTCTCTGCTCTGGCAGGATATGAACAGATTGGAGAAGATTTGAAAGCCTTCCTGTAGCACTTTTGGCTTTGAAGCTGGCACCTGTCAAAAAAAAAGTCACCCCTGTTCTTGATTGGTTCATAGAAGGTGGATTTTATTTCTCCTTTAGGTCCTTTCATAAATTTCTAGAAACGGACCTTGCCTTTCTCAAGGTGTGTGCCAATCGGCTCGGCGGCAGTTTGGTGACCAATATCCTTTGCATCAAGCGAAAGAAGGTCTCGACATTCTTCCTGGTAAGGATTGCCCATATCTTGCATGGCTTGTGTGACCGTTTCTACTTTCTCAAGGAACATTCTTTATGCTCATTCAGTCTCCTGGTGGTGGCTGTTGTGTTTAGCACCCGCTTTAGTCCCGCAAGCTGCCTCATACTGTTCAACCAAGTGGCTGATTTAAGGACCAGCTATCATCTATCTGTTTCCTTCCCAACCTTTTCTTTAAGATAGTGTTGAAGTCAACATCTTTATATCTATTTCCTCCTCGAATTACATATTCTATCCATTCTAGTTGTGGCTGTTGGTTGAAGTCTTTATGTGGTGTGGGTTTTGATATTTGATTAATTTCTTTGTGATTCTGTTGTACCAGAAGATTCATTTAGATCAATCCATTTTCAGTCAGTGATCTGGGAAAATGGTCACATACAGATGTTAGTTTAGACATTAGCAAAATTAAAGCGTTGTAGCATACCTATAGACGATAATGGGTATGTCCCCATTCACATAAATACAGTAGTAAATACTGTATGTTTGTCTGTTGTCGGAGATTCGTTTCCAGCTGTGCTGGTCAAACTCTCTGCCTCCGGGCAAAGAGGATCCCCAGACGAGGCTATGTCGAAGGGCAGAGTCTCGTCTCGGGAAACAGCTACCCGACCCCGTTTTATACGGTGTCTACGGGGAATTTTTGACCGAGTCTACGGGTTTGGATACCCCACATTAAATTCGGCCTTGTGCCACATCTGACCGCGTGGGGCGGTTGGCAAATATCCTGCAGTCGCAGATTCGTCTTCAGTTGTGCTGGTCAAACTTTCTGCCTCCGGACAGAGAGGATCCCCAAACGAGATTATCTCGAAGGGCAGAGTCTCATCTCGGAAAACAAAAGGAAAGGGAAAGTTTTATACGGGGTCTACGGGGAATTTTTGGCCGAGCCTACGACCTCGGATACACCACATTAAATTCGGCCTTGTACCACATCTGACCGCGTTGGCAGATACCCTGCAGTTGGATATTCGTTGTGGAATTCACTTGACTCACTTCTAGCTGTTGACTACTTCTTCTACGCGCCGCTAGCGAATCTTATATGTCTTGTTCTTGTCCTAAGTATTATCGTTCATTGCCAGGCTTTGTTTTATTATTCTATTTAGTAACTTTACCTAGGTTACAACAATTACTTCGAATTTTTTAAAACAACGTACATTGTTCGTTGATTCACTTCTTTTATTGGGCCCTGAGGATGCGATGCTAAATCCTCCACAACTATTTTACTCAATATCGTGTCCCAAAAATTACAGCTGTCTCTTTCTGATTGCTTCATTATATGCTTAAAACATCCTCTTTAGTCACATACTCTTTCCATGGTATTCTCAGCATCCTTCTGTAGAACCACTGTCTCTTCAAATCTCTTCGTTTGTGACGAGATTGTTCCGTATTCACTGCCTTGCAAAAGACGAGAAACCATAAAGCTGTCCGGCACTCATTTCTTAATTTCCAATGTTATTTTTCGAGTCTTTAGTAAATTCCTGATTTGCTAAAATATAACTCTTGCTACTTCGAATTTCAGTGCCATATTTCCAAAGCTCTGTTATTACACTGCCCGATTTGCAGGTTTATCTTTTCTTGTGTATATATGAACTTAACGCCTGCGATGGGAACAACAAATAATTAAATAATCGCTAATAAATAAAGAGTGAAAAAAATTAACAAGCAACGCTATAAAATAGCTTCAGTTCTTTTTAAAATACTGGGAGTCGCTGAATTGTAGTAAGCCTTTCCATTAATTGGGTTGGTGAATAATTATCAGGCGTTTTCGTAGGCGAGTTATTTGTTAATAAAAATTGCTGTTTTGTTTACTTTTTTAAAGAAAAATATTATTTTATTTTCGGGTTATAAAAATTCGTGTCGATAATCATATGGTCCGGAATAATCATTTAAAATGTTATCGTTGAATTGTTATGTTTCTTTTTTCATAATAAATATTGTTTAAAAAACGCCTGATGATTATGCACCAATCCAATATGATTAATAAATGTAGTTTTTACTTAGTAATAATATCACCTAACCACAACGAATTAATACGGAATTTTAAAAGATTTAAAACATTATAAATTATTCTAATTATAATTTTAAAGAAAATGAAATTAATAAAAAAAAATTCAATATTAAAATTTAAGAAAAAATGTAAAAATTCATCTTTTTTGTCTTAGGCAATTGTTTCCATAATATAGTGATTTTCCAAGCATCGCTTAGATGTGGCACTAGGCTGAAATTAGGGGACACCCAGTGAGGATCGAACTCACTCGTAATTGTTCTAGCGAGCCAAGATTGCTACCCATTACACCACCTCGAGGTGCCTAGTTGTTTCCATAATATACGTTATTCATAAAAGCAATTAAAAGCTTTTATAATTAAATAATGTCCTAGTTTTATTGCATTTTTATTTTACAAGGACTTGACCTTATAACAAATATAAAAATTAAACCCTACAAAAATTAATCTCTCGAAATTTCATGAATTAAATTAGTAGAAAGCGGATAATAGGTGTAAAAAGAATATTTTTACCAGGTTTCTATAAAAAGAAAACATTTCTGAATAAATTTCATTCATTTTGAATAAGACTTGAAATTTTCAATAAAATTTGACAGTTGTTTGATATTTGCAGGAATTTGCAAATCAAAGTGTTTTTCAGCGCAAAAAAGGCGCTAAAATTTCCTATATTAACTTGATGGTTACCTGCTGACGCAAGAAAAAAAATGACCAAAACCTTTAACCTTCTAAACAGGATACATATAATTTAATAACCAAAAAATCTTTTGGTCTTTTCTCTTAATAACAACATGAAGATTTTGACGATAAAACTGGTTTTATTAAGTTTGGGTCATGCTTCCTCACTTTTTAGCGAATTTTTGCAGGCATATATATATATATATATATATATATATATATATATATATATATATATGCATGTTTCATTAAAAACGACAGACAAGGTACTACGGTTAAGCTTTTTATTTAATTTTTCTTGTGTTCGAATAAGAGCTTTCTTTTCTGGATAAAGAAGCTTTAATAATAAAAAAAAGAAAAGGCCAACTCCCAACAATATTAACTACAAACAAGGCCACAATGTGCTAACCATATTTAGAAATTAAAAATATCTCTAAAACATACACACAATGCACACACTCAATTAAGATGAAAAATTGAATCATCCTTGATAATTGCTAAAGGCATAGCCGAAAGTGCTCGGAACTATAAAACATTTGGACAGTTCTTTCACACAATTTGTCCAGAAAAGAAAGCTCTTGTTTGAACACAAGAAAAATTAAATAAAAAGCTTAAACATAGTAACTTGTCTGTCGTTTTTAATGAAACATGCATAAATGAAGGATTGCTGCCTAAATATACAAATATATATATATATATATATATATATATATATATATACTTGGGCAGCAATCCTTCTTTCATACAAGTTTCTTTGAAAACTACTGACAAGATGCTGTGCTTAAGTTTTATATATAATTTCCCATGTGTTTATATGATTTGTTTACTTTTCAGGAGATAAATTATATAAAAAAATATCCGATAATTTAGCCATTATCAAGGATGAATTTTATTTTATTCTACTTTTAACTGAATATATGGATTGTTTTATATATAAGTATCTAGACCGAGCGTTTGAGCAACGATGAGGTCTTAAAGAGGATGCAATTAAGGATGAGGGTTTTACTTAATATCAGGAAGAGGCAGCCGAACTTCCTGGGACACATAATGAAGAAGGAGGGCCTGGAGAATCTGATACTCACGGGTCGAATAGAAGGAAAGAGAGACAAGGGAAAACAACGCATGACATACCTAGCGGCCTTAAGCAAATGGATGACAGAACATGGTCTGGGGGAGGTGGGATCACATAATACAATGGTATAGTGATTTTCTAAGCCCGGCTTAGATGTGGCACAAGGCCGAAAGTAGGAGGCACCCAGTGAGGATCGAGCTCAGTAGTCAGTCGTAATTGATCTAGCAAGACAAGTTTTCTAACCATTACACCAAGTCGAGGTGCTCCCCCCCCCCAAAAAAAAAACAATGGTATATATTCAGTTAAAAGTAAAAGAAAATTCATCCTTGATAATGGCTAAAAATATAGCCAGAAGCGCTTGGAAAATATTCGGACATTTTTATATAATTCATGCCCTGAAAAGAAAAACAAAAATTATACGAACACATGAGAAGTTATATAAAAAAAAAACTTAACCACAGTACCATGTCAGTCTTTTTCAATGACTTATCTTACCTGACTTATCTTTCATCCTCTTATTGACTTGATAAAATGTACGAAACGCATCGGCTTAGATAAGTTTTCATTTTGTCTTTATTCATATGTGTGCGTATGTTTTGTTAAACAAGACTGAGACGGTATTTTTTGTTAAGTGTCTCATATTTTCTTTCTTTTATGCGAACAAGTGTTTTCTTTTTTCTTTCTGAATTTAATGAGTACAGAAATTGTCCAGATGTTTCTTTCATTCCGAGCATTTTCAGCTAATCAGTTGGCCATTTTTTTAAAGAATTTTAGTTACATTTTATAATTTATAATAAATGGCGTACGGTTGTAGACAGTCTAAAAATTGCCAGCCCACTTTCCATGTCAGTTACCGCAACACTCCGCCAACGTTTTATTGATGTCGACTATTTTTGTATGGAGCACACGGTGAGGATCAACCAGACTTGCCTCGATAACGATTAAGCTACGTCGAGCCGACGGTGTGTTATACCTGCATTCGAATAAATTAAAAAAAAAAAAAAACAGTTTGTAAATTAAAAGATATACGCATATAGGTAAACGATTTTCTTAACCTTATTTTGACGGGGTATCTTTTACTCAAAAGATAAAAAAAAAAAAAAATTAAATAAAAACCACAAAAAAAAAAAAAAATAGTTTTCGTCTCATTTTTATCTCTTTCTCCAGAGAGTTGTTATAAAACAGAAATTTGTACATTCAGAACAGATGGGTAGGCCTATCTAAAAACAGTCACGTGTCACGTGGTCATTCTTTTCTTTTTTGTTTTTTTTTGTTTTGTTTTTTTTTT